ATGAGATCTCTTTTACCAGTGGCAAAATATAGTAGTAGGTTTTTACCCTTTTAAACTGGTACAAAACTGACACCTTTATTCAAGGCATCATGTTTGCAATAACCACAACACAAGTAGTCAAAAAAGCAGACAAAAAGAAGCAACTCTGAAGGACAGTGCATATTATTATTATCATCATCAGAGTTGCTTCTTTTTGTTTGCTTTTTTGACTACTTGTGTTGTGGTTATTGCAAACATGATGCTTTGAATAAAGGTGTCAGTTTTGTACCAGTTTAAAAGGGTAAAACCCTACTACTATCCACAATCATGTCACTCCTCATATCACTCTTGGGGGGGGGGGGGCTGAATCACAAGGGGAGTCACGGGGCAACAATTACCCATTGGGGGGGGTGAGGGGGGGGTCAAGGGGTCATGTACGAGGGGCGAAGCCACGTGATGGACTGGCTCGGACTTCGTGTGCAAGATGACAACAACAGTCGGTCATCTCGAGGGTAGCTGCAATACAGCGATACTACGATATATCGTACGACGTAAGGTAAACTTCAACCGTGATGATGGGTACAAAGTGAGTAATCATTGGAAAGATGTTATTAACCATGCAAAAAAGATTTAAGTACACATATTTGGACCATCTTATTTGACAGGTTCTACTTTACCGAGTGTTGACATCCCCAGCGTTTAACAGTACTCTCCTTTTTGCATTTGCATTGTCAACCAACACCGGTAACAACTAGGGGTCGGCACGGTTTGGCTCAAACCACCAAACCGCGATTTGAACCGAACCAAATCGGTTTGGTTTGGCTCTGTTTAAACTGGTTCGGTTTGGTTTGGGGCTACGAAAACCGACTCGGTTTGGCTCGGACAGGGTGGAACCGGCTCAAACTAGTTTGGTTGGTTGTAAAGGCCGAGTACAGCAATATCAAGGACATGATGACGGACATTCTCAACCAGCGCTACCCAGCGTTGACGACGGACGCGGCGCCGAAGGCGGCGCCGCGTGGCGGCATTAACATCCTCTTTGACGTGGTCTACGCGCCCAACGCTCACGACGGCGCCGCCTCCGAGGTCGACCGCTTCCTGCTTGAGCCGACTCAGGACCTGAGCATGGACGTCGTCGAGTGGTGGAAGCTGTACGGCGGCAAGTACCCGCGCATACGACGCGTGGCCCTCGACTATTTGCCTATCCCGGCGTCGTCCGTGCCCTCCGAGAGAGCAAACTCGGCCGCCAAGCGCTCCTTTCTCGACCGACCAAACCTGCTCAAGTGCACGTTCAAGGCCGAGATGTGTGTGCGCTCGTGGGCGCGGATGTTGCCTAGTGTTGGGGTTTCACTGCCATTGAACTACCACACTGCGTTCAAGGACATTGGGCGTGCCAAGCTTGAGGAGATGGCTGTGGACGACATCGTCGTCCAGTACTTGCTAGTGAATCTCAATATGAAGAAAGCCTGCGTAGAAATTAGCGATTAATACACTTGATATTTGTATTGAATGCGAATATTGTTTGCCGCGCATCTTTTCGGTTCAAGCCAACTCAAGAGGTTTGGTTTAGCTTAGTTTGGTTTGGTTTTGGTTTGGTTTGGTTCAGTCGTCGCTGGTTTGGTTTCGTTTGGTTTGCTCAATTTGAAACCAGTTTGAGTCGGTTCAAACCGTGCCGACCCCTAGTTACAACAACAAGTGCACCTGTTGTTCTCTTTTAGCCCCGCCCACCCCCCCCAACACGTTCCATTCATTGGCTACCACATTCAGATAAGCCCCTCCCCCTTAACTTGTATATAAGAACTCGTCTCTTGGAATGTTGCCTCACTTGAGACAGTGAATGTAGCTGTGACGGTCCCACCTGATGACGGAGACTTGTGTTGCCTCCGAAACGTCGTGATTTATTATTTTATTTCTATTATTATTTCTATTATTTTTACCGACGTGACTTTACCTAAAAAACCTAAGAGTATAGGGTCCACGATAATCGATATATCGTACAGCCTTCGTCGTCGTGGCTCACGTGATTGCATTATTTCCTGTCAATATTTTTGCAAGAATAACAGAAGTACAATTTCGATTTAAAGCTTTCGTGACTGCAGGGATTCATCTTCTTGGTTCTTTCGGTAAAGTCACGAAAGAACCAAGAAGAAGAAGAAGCACAATTGATAAGGTTCAGCCCGTTCACCAATAACTGCACACACACACACATACAAAGACAAAGATCCCCCGTATAGCCTGAACAGACTGTAGGGGCAAGTGCTGTTAGCGAGCACCTATGAAGGCCAGAACGGTACGCGTGACTGTCACCCCACGAATGGGGCTCTAATTGGGGTCAGGTCAAGATAAAAAATAAGATTCGTTAAACGAGCGAACAAGCACTGAGTTGAGTGTTCTTGGAGAGCCATAGCCATCTCTCGGGGGTGCTGCGATTGTAACAATGCGCGTAATGCGCGCGCGTGAGCAGATTTCATCACTCTGTTTCTAAAAACTGACCTCCACCCCCTGACCCCCCTGACCCCACGCCCCTTCCCCCACGAACACGCGTGTAGTTGTAACACAGACGTCAACGAAGGGGGACGAGGCGACAGGCCGCGACGTCTATTGGCGGAGAATGCTGTTTGTATCGAGCTCAAGTTGAACGAGGAGAGTTCAATTGCTGCGATGGTATTGCGGCTCTGTTCCAGCGACCCCCACCCCCCCCCCCCCCCCCCGAGCGATGTGCATGTGCCTCCCGTAGGCCTGTCTCTCTCCTATGACCTTGAGTTTACAGGAAGTGCGAGAAAGCGATTGACCCCTGCACCATCACTCGACTGGGTGCACACCCAGCGGCCGCGTTTCGACTCCGATTCACGGAGTCATTACGCAGTTGTCTCCTTTGGGACCGTCCATAAATGACGTCACGCACCTAGAAGGGAAATAATAAAGTAAAATAAATTCCCTTCTACGTGACTTTACCGAAAGAACCAAGAATATGAATCCCTGCAGTCACGAAAGCTTTAAATCAAAATTCAATAAAGGGTGTTGAATTTTTGTTGCATGGCGATGCAGCATGGAAGGCGATTTTTTTCCTTCATGTTTTCACTCCAGCACTGGGTAATTCCCGACTGGCCCTCTTCTCAGACCGTTCCCCGACGCAGCAAGAGGGTACCGAGCTCACAGTATCAGAAGCATGATCCTTATGACACAAATCTGACAGCACCAGGGGCATTCATTTCCGATGCAATATTGTCCGGGTCTCTGTGAGACTGGGATATAGGAGACACGTATCTGTCGTGGGCACAGTAGGCCATAGCGCGAGGGATACTGGATGTGGTGTGCCGATTATGGACATGTTTTCCAGGTCGCCGATTCAAGACAGACCCAGCCACGGTGGCTAGGAGATGGAGGAAAATAACAGACTCTCTCCTTTCTAGATATTTTGCTGGGACATGGTCTTAATGGCAAAATAACACAGCGTTTGCTTTCGGTAAACGCTGTGAATGCAGATTCACATCATCACCCAGCTCAGAAATCTCAGAAATCGTCTCTTGTCAAAACACTCATACATCGGGCAAAAACAGTGTCAGATGGTGAGAGTCTAGTGAGAGAGATGAAACATGTTAAAGAAGCACTAAGACAGAATGGCTACAATAATGCTCAAATTAACAGAGCACAGAAGGCCAAATCACGAACGCAAAGCAACACTGCTGAAAGCGATAAGATTGTTCAAACAATAAAAATTCCATACATCTCAGGAGTAACTGACAAATTAGCCCGGGTTGTGCAAAAGCAAAACATTAAAGTAAGATTTGGTACAGTGCACAAAATTCAAAAAGTGGTATCTGGCACTAAAGACGAATTGCCCAAATTATCAACAGAAGGTGTATATCGGATTAATTGTTTACGTGGCAGATGCTATATTGGACAGACGGGACGCAACATCAGTGTAAGACTAAAAGAACACCAAAGAAACATTAAATTTTCTCAAACACAACTGTCGGCAGTGGCAGAGCATGCTTGTCAACAAGGACACTCAATTGATTTTGATAACGTTGAAGTGTTGTGTAAAACTAATTATTACTGGCCAAGACCAATTAGAGAATCCATTGAAATTGAGAGAAACAGAAATAACTTCAATCGCTCTGACAGCTACACGCTTAGTGCGGCCTGGAAGCATATTATCAAACAAATACAATTACAATTCCTTATAAGGGGAACAAATACCAATGAATAACAATTGAATGATTACCAATCTATATAATTACAATACCCCCAGATTGAATTGAATTAAATGATGACGTCACCCTGATGCTGCTCTATTTAAGACCGGAAGCAACAGGAGAGCTTCACCATTCTTGCCCGATGAAGCTGATTGTAATTATCAGCGAAACGTCGTACTACTCAAATTTTAAAATGCTGTTGATTCTCTCTTCAGCACACCGGTGGGCTAAAGAAGTGAATTATTTTGTCCTTTGAAAACGTGACACATTTTTTACTGTTTGGCCGTGTCGGGTGGTGGAGGGTTACGACACATTTATAAATAACGCGATCTGACCCAAAACCCTGTATTATGAATAGGAGATGTTAACTACCTCGCCTGGTATGCAGGGGGTCGTGGGTTCGATCCAGACCCTGACACCTGCTGCTGTATATTTGGAGTTTGCGGTGTCTCTCTCTCTCTCTCTCCCCGTGGTCACGTGGATTTTTCTCCAGGTCTTCTGGTTTTTCACTCCACGTTTAGAATCAACATCACGCGTTTAGAGTATTTAGCTGTTATGCATTTCGACTCGATAAGCCACTTCGTTGGGCTACCATTTCTGGCCAGGTCGCTTCTGAAAAATAGCTAGAAAGCTCAGTCGGCCTTACCTGGTAAAAACTTTAAATAGTTGAACGATATAAAACCCTGGATAGCATTGGCGTGATGCAATCCATGAAACAATTGCAATTTTTTTTGTATCTCAATGTGACATCCCATTATCGCGCGTTGTTTCCTCCCTCCGTTAACTGTCTCGTCGTCTCCCTCTCTGCGTGCGCCTCCTCAGAGCAAACTCGAATCGGAGGACCTCCACTGAGAAGCGATCACAATGGCAACGAACGTCGGCGGTTTGGTGGCGGTCATCGTGTTTTACATCGCCATCCTGGCGACGGGCGTGTGGGCATCGCGGAAGTCCAGAAAGACGGAGAAGCGATCCAAAAGCATGCGGAGCGAGATGGCCATGGTTGGGGACCGCAAAATGAACGTAATCGTCGGGATCTTCACGACCACAGGTGTGCCGTGCAAAGACAAAGATTCCCCCGTGCGTGTGTGTGGCCTTGACAGACCTTATTGGGGCAATTGCTGTGAGCGGGCAGCACCTGCGAAGCAGAGGTCGCAAACGGGTTTTGATTCCTTACCCGTACCCGGCCGCACCAGGGTCGCAAACGGGTACCCGTACCCGGCCGTACCCGTACCCTACCCGTACCCAGCCGGGTATCGGGTACCTGATTGCGACCTCTGGGATGAAGCCATGTTGCAGGCGCGGGTGGGTTGATTCTAGGAACTTGAATTGTGAGAAGAGACAAGACGTTGGGAAATGAGTGACAAACAGTTACTCACCAGTGACTCACGGTCTACCCGTACCCGTACCCAGCCGCACCAGGGTCGCAAACGGGTACCCGTATCCGGCCGGGTACGGGTAGCCGGGTATCGGGTATGGTACGGGTATCGGGTACCCGGTTGCGACCTCTGCTGCGAAGGCCCACGACGGCGCACGAAGGGGATGGGTCGCCAGGTCCAGGCGGTACCGGTCCATCTCCCGGCAGACGATTGGCAGCTTTAACTCGACATTGAGCGTCCGGACATCCCACGTGGCCAGCCACAGTCGTTTTCTGTTTCTGGAAGAATTCTGACTGGGAGGGGTTCGAACTGGCTCCGCCAAATGGGGCTTTGGCTCGAAGGCGTCATGAACGCCTGTTCCCCCTCTTGGTGCCTCCGGCACAAGCTTAATTGGGTGTTTCCACCGTGGTATTTGGTCAAAAAAGAAAAATACTCGCAGACTCACGCCAAAGCCAAAGTTCGCCCGTATAGCCTGAAAAGACTGTTGGGGTAAGTGCTGTTCAGCGGGTAGCACCTATGAAGGCCGCAACGGCGCACGAGGGGGGTGGGGTGGCCAGCACCACGCCCAGCCGCCTTTGTCTCCTCAGTGGTGATGCTTACACACCGCACCAGGTACTCATTTGAGGCCGAGTCGACCCAGGGGGGGGGGGCAGGATCGATTCAGATCATCAAACGGGAATCGAACTGCGCCACCGCTCCCCATCTACATGCAAACGCACGCACACCACGCACACACACACATCGCACAGACGGTACATTGCCGTTTTTAAGTTTGTGAGCACATAGCCTTGGTGTCATGTCGTGTGTGTGTGTCCCCCCCTCCCCCCTTCTTATATCTGTAGCCACGTGGGTTGGAGGGGCTTACATCAACGGCACGGCGGAGGTCATATATACGCCCGGAATGGGCTTAGCGTGGATGCAGGCTCCCATCGGCAGTGCTGTCAGCCTATTTGTCGGTATGAAAGCACGCACTTGCACCAAGGACAAATCTCTACCGTTCATCGCCAAAAGTAATGGCAGACCTCTCGAAAAATGTGTCACTTCATCCGTTAAAAAAAATCCACCTCTGAGAATTGAGAATATAATGTTGGCTGCCTTGCAATGTACGTGTCTCTACTAGTAGGGATGGATCTATGGGATCCCGGCAGTAGTTCTGCGATGTCTGCTTCTTTCGCGGGGCCATTCTCAAACACATGGGCGGTGTTTCGATTTAAAGCTTTCGTGACTGCATGGATTCATCTTCTTGGTTCTTTCGGTAAAGTCACGTAGAAGGGAAATAATAAAAATAAAACATAATAAAATATTGTTATGTTTTATTTTTATTATTAAATAATAATAACATCCTCATCTTCTTGGTTCTTTTGGTAAAGTCACGTAGAATAGAAATAATAAAATAATAAAAATAAAACATAATAAAATAATTCTCACGACGTTTCGGCCACAACGCAAGCAGCCGTCCTCAGGTGAAGAAGAGGTCTGTCGAGAAGACAGAGTCTTATCAGAGTCTTATCGACAGACCTGGTCTTCACCTGAGGACGGCTGCTTGCGTTGTGGCCGAAACGTCGTGACAATTGTATTTTATTATGTGTTTTATTATTTTATTATTTCCATTCTACGTGACTTTACCGAAAGAACCAAAAAGACATGGGGGTGGAATAAAATTTGCATAAAAAAACTCCACGAGTGATTAACAACAATCACCGCCGTTAAGAATCGTTTATGCGTCTCGACGCGGCACACTTGAATGCAATACAAAACAACAACAACAACAACATTGAAATCCGTAGGCTAAGGGGCCGTCCATAAATGACGTCACGCGATTTTGGACGATTTTTGACCCCCCCCCCCCCTCGTCACACAGCGTTACAAAAAGTCAGACCCCCCCCTCAAATATGACGTCACAAAGCTCTGCCCCCCCCCCCACTCTGATGTTGTAGGAGAAAACATTTATTAAAAAGTCTGCTTCATTAAGTAGAACGTGTTGTCTATATTAATTTAAAGTTGCGCATTTTGATGTGACGTCACATTTCTCAAACCCCCCCCACCCCTCGTCACACATCGTCACAAATGTCTGACCCCCCCCCCCTAGGTGCGTGACGTCATTTATGGACGGTCCCTAACCTTAAACGATGTAATAAGTCCTTTCTAAACTCATTGATCGCGAACAATGTGGTTCTCAAGAGTATCCAGCGAGCGCGAACAAATGAAGTGGCACGTGCGTAGGCGTCTATTGAATGTTGTTGTTGTTTGTTTGTTGTTGTTGTCGTTACCCGCTTGCCGTTATGAGCCGGTCGGGCTAACCTCACGTAAACGGACAAATGGTGAGAAAAAAAAAACCCAAAAATGTCCGTTCCGTTATTTCGTGCGTCGTTCGTTTCTCAGAACCATCGCAAAAGGAGCCGTCCATAAATGACGTCACGCACCTGGGGGGGGGGGGGGTTCAGACATTTGTGACGATGTGTGACGAGGGGGGGGGGGGGTTGAGAAATGTGACGTCACATCAAAATGCGCAACTTTAAATAAATATAGACAACACGTTCTACTTAATTAAATAGACGTTTTTAAAAATGTTTCCTCCTACAATATCAGAGCGCAGCGCCACATTAAATACGCACTTCAATGACAATAGTTTAAAGCGATTTGAAGCATGTTTTAGTTTTTGGGGGGGGGGGCAGAGCTTTGTGACGTCATATTTGAGGGGGGGGGGTCTGACTTTTTGTGACGCCGTGTGACGAGTAGGGGGGGTCAAAAATCGTCCAAAATCGCGTGACGTCATTTATGGACGGCCCCAGAGTCAGGCAAGGGGGAGAGGGGCGGTAGGGGGGGGGCTTGGCTGGAACAATATTCAACAAGGCGGGGGGAGGGGAGGGGTCAAGTTTGGTGGAGAATCACCGGATCGAGACGCGGCTGCCTCACCTGGTGAGCATCCACTCTTCCCCAGGGTTTCCCCAGCCCTTGGACCAACACAATCCCCAAATACTCCCTCCGAGCCTGTTCTTCTGGGCCGTGGCTGTGGGGGGCCCGGTGGGATGGGGGAGGGGTGGAAGGAGGTGGTGGGGGGCAGGTTGGGGGGAGGGGTAGAAGGTCGAGTTTCGGCCCCTAATAGCACTCCCCACAGTAACCCAGCAAGGTGAATCGGCGGGATTGTAATGTTGGAATGTGGTGAAAATACAATTACAAATAATACATTTTAACCGCCACGCGTGAAAACGAACTTTTTTTTTTAAAAGCAGAATACTACATATGACAATCAATCATGTGATTAGGCCATCGGCATGTTAGCTTGCAAAGGCAATTATCGAGCAGCAATTTGTTTCAGCAGCAACAACAACAACAACAAAACTCTGGACTGACATCGGACCTTCTGCGTCTGGCTTGTCAAACACAACGCTGCTGTGAACGCCACAGATGATGTTTCTTGGCAACAGTCGATGCGATTCCCACTGCTCAAATAAGCGCCAAAAAGCGGTTGTTCAAACGCAAAGCGGCACGCGAACTCGATCTGCATTCCCGTCGGATGAATGCCACAATAGGCACGGCCTCGTTGCGTTGATATCTCTTAGTTCCGGCTGTCGACAGATTAGGAGGAGCTGCCAGAAGCCACTCTTTGGTTCTTTCGGTAAAGTCACGTAGAACGGAAATAAATAAATTTGAAAGACAAAACACAGACACGGAGACACAGAGAGAGAGAGAGAGACACGACATAGACTTTACCGAAAGAACCACAGAGTAATTCATGCAGTCACGAAAGTTTCAAATCAAATTTGCCAGAAGTCAATTTCACGATGCCCTACGATCGGTGCTCCGGGGAAGTTTTTGTGCCTCTCAATTGATTCGTCCTCCAAATTCTCTGAAGGCCACGTGGACTACGGTATCCTATTCTTTGGGTATGGCTCGTGGGGGTGGATGGCTGGGGCAGGGAAATTGAACAATGCCTCTTAGTCAGGAGCTATTTCCCTACAACTCGTTCAACCTTCAACACAAAACGTGCATTATCAGAGGCTGTTCAAGCCGGCTGCTTTCACTGTCCGTCCTTCGCCTTCAGCTGTTCGTTCCCTTCTCCCTCTCCATCTTATTCTTCCTTCTCTGATCCTCTTCTCCCTCGTTCCTTCGCTCGCTGTTCCTTCCTCCAGTCCCTCTTCTCGTGCGCTATTTGTTCGAACCGCTACTTATTTAGTCTTCAACTCTCCGATTGTCCGCCGGGTTCTTTACCCCGTCATCCTGCATGGCAGCTCACGGTCGAAATACTCCGCGGCGAGACTAAAAAAAAAAACCTCCTTTTCCATCCTCCTCCTCCTCCTCATCCATCCTCCTCCTCCTCATCATCTATCCTCCTCCATCCTCATCCATCCTCCTCCTCCCTACATCAAGGACCAAGGGGACCGCCGCTGCCAGGCGACGTCTCTTTGCGGCGGTCCCCCTCCCACCCCATCGCCGTCTGAAACGCGGCCACCACCGAGCCACAGATTTTGTATCAGCAATCGATCTCCACTGGGCTTTTGAAGAGACACTTAAAAGGCCCACCTCTTTCTTCTTAAAGGCCCACCTCTTTCTTAAAGGCCCACCTCTTTCTTCTTAAAGGCCCATCTCTTTCTTAAAGGCCCACCTCTTTCTTCTTAAAGGCCCACCTCTTTCTTAAAGGCCCACCTCTTTCTTCTTAAAGGCCCACCTCTTTCTTAAAGGCCCACCTCTTTCTTAAAGGCCCACCTCTTTCGCCTGACATTCGAACAACTCTGAGCTTGGCTCCACGTCTCAGTTCGTGGTAATTTATGTCCGTGAACTATCGTGCACTACAAATTGCATGATTATTATTATTAGCGAGACCCTTACAATTTAACCGCAATATTCCTTCGAATTACCGTAAAACATCTTTATTTTTTTCACACAGACCAAAGGGACTGATGTATATGATGACACAAGCATTTTCTTATCGACATCATATCACGATGATGCCATCATCAGCTTAATTCAGGGCATTTCGTAATTGTTTCGAGATCGTTTACCAGAGATTACACATGTCCATCACAGTGCACCAAGCCCCACCACATTTCTTCTAGATCTCAAGCTTTCGTGACTGCAAGGACTCATACTCTTAGTTCTTTCGGTAAAGTCACCACGTAGGTAAAAAATGAAATAAAATTTAATAAAAAATAAAACAATGAAAATCACGACGTTTCGGAGGCAACACAAGTCTCCGTCATCAGGTGGGACCGTCACAGCCAGATTAGCTGCATCAAGTGAGGGAGGGGTTCACTTGATCCACCACATTTCGCCATCGAATACAAACAAACGCAGGCTATAGAGCAGCGATGCTTAACCTTCACTGCAAGCGTTGTGCCCCTTTGATTCTCAATCGTTAAAAACAAATAAGAACGGATAATGATACACTGTAAATGTGACGTTAATAGCTTCACGAAGTCAAAGAGTCTCGCCATCATTGTCAAAGCACGTGGCCTGGAATCTTCTCCAGGTGGTCTCCAGAGCCCGAAGGCAGCGCATCTCTCGTGGTGTCGTTGCAAATTCTCAGAAGTGTTCACATGTTTCTTTTTTAAACACCCCGTATAGGTTTCATGAAACAAAGTAAGTTGTACATATTTTTTTCTACCTACGTGACTTTACCGAAAGAACCAAAGGGTATGTATGGATTCATGCAGTCACGAAAGCTTCAAATCAAAAGTAAGTTGTAACTTAGGTGCCCATGCTCCATTTGTGTTGTCGATGATTTATCTTCTAAAATAAAAAAAAAATCTGGCCACGTCTCGCACCCCCAGAAAGGGCATCTCGCAGCCCCAGGCGGTGGTGTAATGCACCCTTAATCTTAATCTAAGTTGTCTTGTGGTTGTTGTTTGACTTGCATCCCACTGGGATTTTTGCACACAGCGTTGGTGTACGGTGCTTTTTCTGCAATATTTTGCTGTTTTTTCTTGGATTTTCTGTTTGCACATAGTAGATGTTTTCTTGTTCATGTTTTAGTTTTTTTTGTTTGTTGCGGTTGCACCCGTTTCAAGAGCCGAATGGCTCACAGGGCTATACCTAATAAAATGAAACTTGAAAAACTTGAACCCCCAGAGCGAGCGTGCAACCAGCACGTTAAGAGCCACTGCTACAAAGTAAAACGCAACCCGCGCGTATGAAACTGGAAGGTTTGCGAATTCACATTCCTGGTTGGGAATCGACTCGGCCCATCATTTCTGCGGGGGTTGCTAAAGTGAGTACCGCTTTGCGGGAAAGACAACAATGGTGAGCCCCATGGATAGACTCACCCCCGCCATATGAAAGAGGAATTTCCACAAGGATTCATACTCTTAGTTCTTTCGGTAAAGTTACATAAAAAAACTGAAATTCAAATTAATAAAAATCAAACAATTAAATCACGACGTTTCATATTTTATTCTTTTATTTTTATTAATTTTAATTTCATTTTTTTTTTACCTACGTGACTTTACCGAAAGAACTAAGAGTAGGAATTCCCACCCCTAAGCTCAGGGGCTCTGTACAAACTGGACATGGGCACCAGCTCAACGCTCACATGAGCAAGAAATCACTTTGACTTGAACTCACGGGTGTGCATTATGATTATTATTATTACGTTGCTATCCAAAACTGGTTTCAATTGAAGCTCACGAGTTCAAAATCCCGTGATGACAAATCAGGGTGACGTGACCAAAATGAAAGAAGATCGTTGACAGAGCGAGAGACGGAGAGTGGGAGAGCGATAACTGAATGACCCCCCCCCCCTGACCCCCTCCATGTTGCATTCTTTGTCATTGTGACGCACCCACACAGCCGCGCTCTTCTTCGCAAAGCCCATGCGCTCACGCACCTACATCACGATGATTGACCCCTTTCAAATCAAGTACGGAAAGTGGATGGGGTCAATCTTCTTCATCCCGGCAGTCTTCGGAGACCTCTTCTGGGCAGCCGCCACTCTCACCGCGCTTGGTAAGATACATTGTGTGGGGTGGGGGTGGGGGCTTTGTATGTCCACATTTACGAATCGTGGGTACACATCAACAATAATTATACTGGTGAACACACTTTTTCTGGCATAAGGTATTCCAACGGTTTTAATGTAATTTTGGGGTGCTGATTCCAAATCTGGCATCGGGTTTTGTCTATCACATCAGGTTTTTGAGATGTCAAATATTGCATTTTCAATAAAAACTGCAAATTTATGCTCATATACGAATAGCTAAACAGACATCCATACAATAATAAGATAAGATACAATATACAATAATAATGAGACAAACGTTTAATGAGCCGTAGCACAAAGTTGTGAGAGTGACTGCATATCAATGTGAGTGAATGCATATTACCATGTAAGAATTTAATTGTGAAGATAAGAAAAATATGTACAAAAGGTCATTCACAATAGTGATGTTACATCTGTATAAACGACCTCTTCTTTGACGATCTCCGATGTACAGCTTGTGGAACGTCTCTCATCAAGGACCAGCAGTAATCTGCAATCATGTTAGAGTCCCATCGGCCTTGGTAACGTTCTTCCATAACTTTGATGTCTTGATGAAAGCGTTCAGTTTGCTCTTCGCTCACGTGACCCATGTTCTCTGGAAACTGGGCCACGTGACTATGTAAGTAGTGAACCTCGATGCTCATTCTACATCCAAGTGCTTGGAAACTCAAGAGCAGCTCCTCCATAATCTCTCGATAGTTGTCCGCTTTCCTGTTCCCGAAGGAAATTCCGCACCACATCAGAGAATGCATTCCAAGTTCTAGCCCTCTGCCGCAGTCATTGTTGTAACAAAGTGTGGATCCCTGATGAGTGTTCTTATTTGAGGGCCATCAAATATTCCTGCCTTTTTCTTCTCGGCACTGAGACTTGAAAAGATTGAACATATACAGCTGAAGCAGTCTCCAGTGTGATCAAGAGCTTTGACGAATTGCTTCATTAACCCAAGTTTTATGTGCAGTGGGGGAAATACAATTTTATTCCTACTAAACAGAGGCTCATTCTTGATGTTCTTGTCACCAAGCGTCAAACTTATTCTTGGTGGCCAGTTCTTTTTAACCCAGTGTTCTAATGTAGCCCTACTGTCCCAGTAGCACATGAAATAAGGGTATTTGGTGTGACCTCCATTCTGATTATTTACAGAGCTCGCTGTTGGGATTTTACAGGATTAGCTTAATTGTTTTAATGAAACACACGAGGGGTGGGGGAAATGGATAACACATGGGGATGGATAACATATGGGAGGGTAGGAGCTGCAGGTGTTGGCCAGGAGAAGAGGCTCTCGCAGTGGAGGTGTGTGTCCTGGTGGCACGGTGCCCCAAGGGTCTTATTTAAATCCTTTATATTAAGTTCGCTTACGTGCTTGCGTGCTTGCTTGCTTGCTTACGACCGTGCAAATCTTTCGGTCGTTTTTTAACCCATTTCCCGTGATCCAATCGAGCTGACATTTTCCACACAGACTCGTTGTGCGTGACAATTAATTTTAGTGAAAAAAAAATGTCAAAATTTTTACACTGTTTAGGGGAAAATTTTTTAAATATTTAATTACCAATTGCTTAATGCTGGCAGACAATCATCTGACCCATAGGTGGCAGCCATCTCAAGCCAGAGGACGAGAGGACTCTAGCCGCCATGCATATAAAGGATTTATAGTGAAAAACTTTGTTTTTACGGGTTAATTTTTTTATTATTTTAAATCACAGCCGCTGAGTGTGCAGGAGGCACTTACCTAGAAGTGGAGTGAGGAAGTATTCCCGATTTTCAGATGACTCTTTTAAATAAAGTAAAATCCAGGGTTGATGCTAAAGTTTGACTGATCCTCAAATTTATTTTATTGATCCGCAAATGGAAGTGATGTCAATTCCACGGTATCACTTCCACAACTTCTCACCCAAGAGGGCCGTCACGTGATTTCACCGTTTCTCACATTGTTTACGATGTAAAGAATTCTGAAATTGAAATGATCGTTTGACTGTTAAAATTATTACATTTAGTGCATGAACAGCAAACGTCACTAACATTTAATTAACGTAAATAAAAAACACTAAAAGCTGAAATAAAATTTTAAATGTTGCCCAAAATCCAGAAGTCCACAAAAAAATATATTTATTGGATTCATTTGAAACATCGGAAAAATGTGGATTATCTGAAGAAACACATTTCAGATTTATCAGAAAACCGGACGTGAAGCCACCTCATTTCCCACCAAATGTAGCATCACGTATTATCACCTATTTTATTTTTGAGCATCAAGACATTTTACATGAGCACATTATGCAAACTTTCAGAGACAAAAAAAAAGATTCGATGTCATTGCGAGAGAAAAACAAAATCAGCAGAATTCAAAATCCAAAGCTAATCTCGAGGACGTATGCAGTATGGACACCATTAATACTGTTAGGAACCCACTGGTTCCACCAGCCCACAGGGGATTATTGTGTCCGTCCGTCGTGAAGGGAGGGGCTGGGTGGGGAGGGAGGGGCTGGGTGGGGAGGGGAGGGTGGGGAGGGGCTGGGTGGGGAGGGTGGGGAGGGGCTGGGTGGGGAGGGGCTGAGTGGGGGGTGGGAGGGGTGGGGCTGGGTGGGGAGGAGAGGGGCTGGTCACCCCGTGGTGCCCTTATAAAACTCAACGTTTAACCTACTCACGCCGGCTTGTGCCCGCCCTCACAGTCGGCCATATTTGTGGAATACACCACGCCGCCGTTGACCCTGGCCATTGGCCGAGCAACCCAACGTTCCTACCAGCTCCCTCCGCAGGAGGAATGTGTTCAATGAATACTAACGGTCACGTGTGCTTGGTTTGCCTTTTTCCAGGCTCAACGATCAGCGTCATTCTGGACATCGACAGGATGATCGCCGTGATGATTTCAGCCTTCGTTGCCATCTTCTACACGCTTCTCGGAGGCCTCTATTCCGTGGCTTACACTGACATAATCCAACTCGGCTTCATCGCCATTGGCTTGGTGAGCTCATTACGGCCAATGTCAGGAGGAGACAGCTGAGATGCCTTGGCTCCAATGTGCAGTGGTGCTTCAAAAAACATGTCAACACTTCTGAGGTTTTGCAACAATGCCACGGGCGCTGGAGATGACCTGGAAAAGATTCCAGGCACGTGTTGACAATGATGGCGAACCAGTGGGAGACTCTTTGACCTTTTGAAGCTACTAACATGGTTATCATGTCACAGTGTATCATTATCCGTTTCTTTGGCCATTAAAAACGATAGTCTCATATTAGTGTTGACATTTTTTTAAGCACCCTGTATGAGGAGACAGACATTTTGTGAGCTATCAAGTAATTTTTGTTTCAGGACCGCGCTCAAACGTTGTAAATAACGTGTGGGTTTTTATTTTAGTTTGCACATTCCCATCCTGCAATGTCCTGTAAGCAGTGACAGATGAAGCTAGTGTGAGGCCTGTTGCATATGTTATAAAGGGGCCCAAACTAAATAAATAATCACATATTAAAACACACATTTTTTCTTTGCATGGTAAAGTAATTGTACTTTTTCATTTGCTATACAGCCAGATAATACGACAAATCGCTAACCTTAAACACCCAGTCGTTCGTAAAAGTCGAAGGCGGTATAGTACTATAGTAATAGAGCAAGTGCAGAATCACTGCACCGGAATTGATAGCTTGAAAGCATTTAGAGCGGGGCCCTTGAAAGTGCGGGGCCCGTAGCTGCTACATGTGTAGCTGCTACATGTGTAGCTGCTACATGTGTAGCTGCTACATGTGTAGCTGCTACATGTGTTGCTGCTGCATGTGTAGTAGCTGCTGCGCGTGTTGTAGCTGCTGCGCGTGTTGTAGCTGCTGCGCGTGTTGTTGCTGCTGCACGTGTTGTAGCTGCTGCGCGTGTAGTAGCTGCTGCACGTGTAGTAGCTGCTGCACGTGTAGGAGCTGCTGCACGTGTAGGAGCTGCTGCACGTGTAGCTGCTACTTGTGCTACTGGGATAATCGGGCACTGGCTGTCAGCTGCCGTCCCTGTAAAGGAGCTGCTCAGCCCAGTGAAGCCGTAGGGGCCATCCACTTAGCAGGTAGGCAAACATCTGTCAAAACTTGACCCCTACCCCCCTCCCTGTACGCACGCGTACGTTTTACACCCCCCCCCCCCCCCCGAATCCCATAGAACGGCCGATATTGAATCCACGCAAAAACGACCAAGGATTCATAATAATATTAACGTGTTTAAGCAAACAGATAGTCCACCGCCGGACTATCTAACTCATTTGAAGGCCAATGTAGACAAATTATTATCGAGGCTTCACCCCCACCCCCCCCGTTTCCTATGCGTACATGGTCAGTAGACCCCCCTAATAAGCAAGCTACGCATTTGGGTTAACCCCCCCCTCCCCCCTCCATGCGTACGCACTCTATGGATGGATGGCCCCTTAGCGGGTCAAGTAAAATACGAGTGAGAATTATTTTATTATGTTTTATTTTTATTATTTTATTATTTCCCTTCTACGTGACTTTACCGAAAGAACCAAGAAGATGAAATACGAGTCTCGATTTGTACGTAATGGGTTCACGTGACCCCCCCCCCCATCTCCCCCACAGTCACTGCAGTGCACTGGTAGGCGAAGTGGTAGTAACAATACTCGTGGCACGTAGAAGGGAAATAATAAAATAATGCAAATAAAGATTATAAATAATTCTCGCGACGTTTCGGCCACAACGCAAGCAGCCGTCCTCAGGTGAAGACCAGGTCTGTCGGGGAGACGGCGTCTGAATTTTACCGAAAGAACCAAGAAGATGAATCCCTGCAGTCACGAAAGCTTTAAATCGAAATTTAATACTCGTGGCCTCACAGCAAGACGAGCTCGAGTTCGATTCGCATGTCGAGTGCCTTTCTGCGTGGAGTGTGGCAACATCGCCCCCTACTGCGATAAAAAAAAACACGTGGCAGAGTCTCGATTTAAAGCTTTCGTGACTGCAGGGATTCATCTTCTTGGTTCTTTCGGTAAAGTCACGTAGAAGGGAAGTAATAAAATAATAAAAATACAACATAATAAAATAAAATAATATAATTAAATATTGTATATATTCTGTTTTATTTTTATTATTTTATTACTTCCCTTCTACGTGACTTTACCGAAAGAACCAAGAACATGCTGGGTCTCTTGTTGTAACGGTTCTCTATATAACCTCTTGTTGTAACAGCTCTCTCGCTGGTTCAGCATTTCCACTGCCGGATGATTTTTGTGTTGCGATCGAAACGTCGTAATATTTTATTATTTTTGTTTTAGTTTATTTTCTACCCACGTGACTTTACCGAAAGAACCAAAGAGTATGGATTCTTGCAGTCACGAAAGCTTCAAATCAAGAATGCTGTGCCATTATACGTTTGTATTTATTACGAATTAATTGTTAAGCGGCGAATAACAACTGCTTCCATTCGTCACGATGAGCGCACAATGTACCGGGTGTCTCAGAATTAAAGAAAGGCAAAGGAGGACACGGGTGGCAAATGGGAAGTGTCGAGCACGGGAAGGAGAAAAGGGAAGCGATGAATGGGGTCCAGAGGTACAGGGGGGAGAATGAGAAAGATTTTATGATGAGATGATTGACAGCAGACAGAGCAAGGGGTGAACCAGGCAAAGTCCAGAAGGATACATCGAGTGGCCACAAATGGTGGAGCAACGGATCCTGGCACATTGGTTTTCATAGCTGCAACTTCCAATTCATATCCATACTGGAAGACGATCGCGATTCAAATGCGGCCCGGTAGATGGTAGCACAACATCACGTTGTCGGGTGCGGCTGACACGCACTCTCTTTGCGTTTCGAGAGAGAGAAAAAAGTTGCGCGTGGCCGCGATGGATTGAACGCATACAACGTGATGTGTGACTCATCTCCTCACCCTTGTGGCCAGAAAGTTAGCACATTCCTCCTGCGGAGGGAGCTGGTAGGAACGTTGGGTTGCTCGGTCAATGGCCAGGGTCAACGGCGGCGTGGTGTATTCCGCAAATATGCCCGACTGTGAGGGCGGGCACAAGCCGGCGTGAGTAGGTTAAACGTTGAGTTTTATAAGGGCACCACGGGGTGACCAGCCCCTCCCCACCCAGCCCCACCCTCCCCACCCTCCCCTCCCCACCCAGCCCCTCCCCACCCTCCCCACCCAGCCCCTACCCACCCTCCCCTCCCTACCCAACCCCTCCCTCCCCACCCAGCCCCTCCCTGCACGACGGACGGACGGGCACAATAATCCTCAGAGGTTCCTACCAGTATCATTATTTAGAGTCGTAATGTTTACAATGCGAAGGGATGTAGCGACCACGACTGGCTACTCGAGTGTATAACAAATACGTTATATTTTCGAAAACAATTATGCTTTATCCATCTCTACATTCAAAACGTGCGCGTAGAATAGAATACAGCCGCAGCAGTTATTGTTACCTAGCAAACCCCAAGGTGTCTCCAACTCGTTTTCAAGAGGGCCCTGCCGAGTTTTCACAGTTATACGGGGCGACAATAGCAACCGTTTCCCAACTCAAGTGATTTGTGAATATATTTTTTACGCGTTATTTAGACCGTGGCGCCGACGTGCACACACTCACGCACACACTCACTCTTCTTCGAATGTCAGAGTACCTCATCACGTTCACCTTGAAAACAGACAACACTTTTCTACTTTTCAGTCATCACACCCCCGGGGAGTATAAACTGAGGGCCGCCTGCCCAGAATTCGTTAGGGCGCCACGGTGGCTATGAGATGTTAACTGCCTCACCTGGTCTACATGAGGTCGTGGGTTCAATCCCGACCCTTACGCATGCTGTTAATTTGTAGTCTGCTTATTCTCCCCGTGGTCGCGTGGATTTTTCTCCGGGTCCTTCGGTTTTTTTCCCTCCACATTTAGAATCAACATGCAATTAGAGTAATTGTCTGATGTAAATTTCCACACCATGATAAGCCACATCGTCGGGGCTATCATTTGTGGTCAGGTCGCTTCTAAAAAAATAAGAGCTACATAGCTCAGTGGGCCTTGCCTGTTGAAATAAAAAATATATATAAATAGTCGTGAATAGTTTGTGATCCTCTCTCGCAGGTGGTGTGCGTGCCTTTCTCCATGATGAACCAGGCGGTGACCAACATTGGCAACACCTTCACGCAGCCCCTCTACCAGGAGCCGTGGGTGGGCACCCTGAACCCCAGGGATGTCACGCGCTGGCTTGACAACATGGTCTACATGGTGAGGGTCGGCGTGAGAAGGGCGAGGGAGGAGTGTCTGTCTGGGTCTTCCCAATCAACGTGGAACCTGAGGCCGACCATTCCAACCACATGCCAGCATTAGCCCAACAAGAAGATTTCGGTCCCTGTGGGCCTGTCATCTCGTAGGGTCCAGCGGAGGGCTTTGTGGGCCCTCTATGCAGCCTCTAACGTAGGTTTAGGCTTTCTAGGTTAGAATACAATTTTGATTTAAAGCTTTCGTGACTGCAGGGATTCATATTCTTGGTTCTTTCGGTAAAGTCACGTAGAAGGGAAATAATTTATAATGTGTAGAATAACTATATATATGTGCATTCTGTGTGTGTGTGTACGTGCGTTTGCATGTAGATGGGGAGCGATTGCCCAAGTTGATTCCCGCTCACGGCCAACAACCAGTGACGATTATCTGAACCCCTAGGTCGACTCAGCCTCAAACGAGTACCCGGTACGGTGTGTAGTAAACATCACCACTGGGGAGACAAAGGCGGCCGGGCGTGGTGCTGGCCACCCTACTCCCTCGTGTGCCAACAGTGCCGGCCTTAATAGGTGCTCGCTAACAGCACTTGCCCCGAAAAGTATAGCAAGGCTATAGGGGGGATCTTTGTCTTTTGTGTGGATTTATTTTGTTGCATGTAGATCCTCGGGGAGCAATCCCGTGCCAGGTGTATTTCCAGCGCGTGCTGGTGGCACAGCACTTGCCCCAAAAGTATGGCACAGGCTATACGGGGGATCTTTGTCTGTTGTGTTTTTGTTGTTGCATGCAAATCCTCAAGGGCAATCCCGTGCCAGGTGTATTTCCAGCGCGTGCTGGCGGCACGGCACTTGCCCCAAAAGTATGACACAGGCTATACGGGGGATCTTTGTCTGTTGTGTTTTTTGTTGTTGCATGCAGATCCTAGGCGGCATCCCGTGGCAGGTGTATTTCCAGCGCGTGCTGGCAGCGGGCTCTGTGGCCCAAGCCCAGTACATCTCCTTCGTCTCGGCATTCACCACCCTGCTGCTAGCAATGCCACCGCTCCTCATTGGCGCAGTGGCCGTCAGCACTGGTAACCCCACCCCACCCCAAAGACATCACAACAACGAAATATACACAAACACCATGGCAGTGTGCGGCGACTGATAATTTGACACCAGTGTTTAATTATTGGAAGGCCCCGCAGGGCCACTTGGTGGGCCACTTGTGACGTGCGGCCTGCGGCGATACACAAACGTGAAAACATCCCATCATCATCATCGTGCTGCTGTTAAACCCCCTTCTTCTTCCTAGCGTTGTTCCCGCTGTGGCACATGGTCCGCTTTTCGGCATTGTCTTCTCCATTTGGCTCGGTCCAGGGCATCTTCAGGGGATGCGTTGACCGTCTTCACGTCTTCCTTGATTCGATCCATCCATCGCTTCTTCGGACGTCCGCGTGGACGGCGGCCCTCTGGCTCAATACGCACGGCAGTCTTGGCCACTGATGACTCTTCACTTCGTATCGCATGGCCGTACCACCGAAGCCTTGCCTCAAGCATCTTGTCCGCAATGGGGGCCACACCAAGTCGCTTCCGAACGTCTTCGTTCGGAAGCCCCAATGGTTTCAAATGTGTGGCGGCCCTCAACATTGATGATGTCTTATCGGCGAAAGTGCAACCCTCCCCGCCTCCCCTCTGATAAATTAGTGAACACGTATTTACATTCACATCAAAGGGTTGGTAGAACGTTAGCAAGGAGACCTAATGTGGCTCGTGAATGGCTGCAGCTTCTCTTTTGGCTGTTGAAGACCGCTTGTGTTGCAATCGAAACGTCGTGGGTTTTTTGCTTTTATTATTTGCCATTAATTTTACATTTTATTTTACTATTTTTATTTTTATTGTGAGTTTTTTGCTTTTAATATTTTCAATTTATTATTTTTATATATTTCCATTTTTTTCTAATTACGTGACTTTACCAAAATAACCAAGAATATTTCGATTTAAAGCTTCCGTGACTGCAGGGATTCATCTTCTTGGTTATTTCGGTAAAGTCACGTAGGTATAAAATAAAATCAATCACGACGAAAGCTTTCCCACCTGATGACGGACGCTTGTGTTGCGCCCGAAACGTCGTGAATAATAATAATAAAACATAATACATAATAGTATTTTATTACTTCCCTTCTACGTGACTTTACCGAAAGAACCAAGAAGATGAACCAATAATATTGTTGTTTTTGTTGTTGTTTCCCCCCCCCCGAGACTGGAATATGACCACCTACGGGTTGCCAACACCTCACGAGCGGGGAGAGAACGGTATGATCCTGCCCATCGTGCTGCAGCACATCTGCCCGTACTTCATCTCCATCCTGGGCATGGGCGCTCTGGCGGCAGCCGTGATGTCTTCCGCCGACTCGGCGCTTCTCTCGGCCAGTTCGCTCTTCACCAGAAACATCTACGCGAAGCTCATCCGTCCCAAGGTGGGGAGGGTGGGGAGGGGCTGGGTGGGAGGTGAGAGGGGTGGGGCTGGTCACCCCATGGTGCCCTTATAAAACTCAACGTTTAACCTACTCACGCCGGCTTGTGCCCGTCTTCACAGTCGGGCATATTTGCGGAATACACCACGCCGCCGTTGACCCTGGCCATTGACCGAGCAACCCAACGTTCCTACCAGCTCCCTCCGCAGGAATGTGTTTAATCTTTCCACTCCCATTAGCCCAGATAATCGAGAGTTGACTCATTCAACGTTTGTATTTTCTTTTTTAATCCACTCGTGACCTATTTGCTGGATTGATCATCTCTCTTCTTCCCCTTTTTTTTCTGTGTATTCTCTCTTTCCTCTGCTTCCCTTTCCTGCCTTACACGACGAAGGATCTTCTTTAGATAGTTCCGTCTGTTTCTAACACGGTAACAGTCTGTATCCTTTTGTCTATTTAAAAATCAGAATAATACATTTCACTCATTAGGCGCCTTTCATAATGTCACCATAATAATGGTTGTCTTTTAATAACAATTTCGACGTAATTTATGATAATATAATCGAACATAACATCATTAATTAAAATGAATTAAACTTCATGCATCACTTCCTGCCACCCTTTGTGGGTGCACATTGATGACATCACACCGCCTATTTAAGGCCCAAAGCTGGAGGACATTTTCACAATTCTGTCCACCGCCTGATGATGCCTATTGTAACAACTATTGCACGTACCCACTGTTAAACGTGCGTGCATGGCTCTCCAACGCGCTTTTGTAATACATCACCTTCGATTAATCAATTATGACTCGTGATTGTTCCGTTTGCTTTGTCGACAACGTAAAAAAAAATGCCCGTAACGAAAGTAAACGTCCCGTGTGCGTGCGCCACCGACGGCAGGCTTCCGACCGGGAGACGTTGTGGGTGCTGAGGATTTCGATTTTGGCCATCGGCAGCATGGCGATGATTCTGGCAATCAAGACCGTGTCCACCTACAGCCTGTGGCTGCTGTGCGGAGACATGGCGTACGTCATCGTCTTCCCCCAGTTCTGCCTCGTCCTCTTCTTCCAAGCCAGCAACAGCTACGGCCTCGTCGTAGGCTTCGTCCTGGGCCTCTTTGTGAGACTCACAGGCGGCGAGGCCCTGCTCGGTCTTCCCGCGCTCTTCCACTACCCGGGCTACTACGAGGAGGGTGGCCTGGACTACCAGATGTTCCCCATGAAAACGCTTTCCATGATGGTCTCTTTGCTGAGCAACATCGGCGTCTGTTACCTCACGCGCCACCTCTTCCTCTCCAAGAAGCTGCCGGCGCGGTTCGATTTTTTCAACGAGTTCGGCGGACGGGGCAAGGACCCGGCGGACGGGACGGCGCCCTCCCGCGTCCCCCGCGGAACCGTCGAGCTGGCCGTAATCTCGGACGAAGCGGTCGACCTCAAACACGAGAACGGCAGGGAGGGCAAGCCCGTGGATGCTCTGCCTCAGTCCCAGTAACTCGTCCGGTGCGCATTTACGGATCGCAAGGATTAGAATCTAGAAGGTAAGGGGGCGGTAAATCCAATTTTGCTACCCCGGTTTACCCCAGGATGCGTCCCTGAATACTAGAACGTACATCAAGTAGTACTTAAATCGAAGAAAAGAGAGATGATGGATTGTAACATGGTACAGAACCTACTACTCGTGGCAGTCGGTACTACTACTAGAGATGAGATGGTGGATCCTGACGTGGTACAGTACCTCGACAGAAGATGCTCAGTAAACAATTGCGCATCCATACTGCACAACTATGAAAAGTAAGTGAAAATTATTGATATATTACAATATATCACCTTGTTCAATTAAAATAATTGTATTATTAATAGTTGTTTAGCATATAAAAAATAGTTTACACTTGTACAAAAAGTCGCCATGGGGGGGGGGGGAGGGGGGATATGTTAATTGAGTACACTTGGAAGAGACGATAGCCAATCAGGGACGCTCTCGTTTGGGCGCCATTTTGGCTCTTGAATGTTCGCCATGCAACGAAAAAATTGCGTGGCTCGACGGTGAAGTTGGTAATTCTCGAGTACGTCGTGGCGAGGTACACGGTGAGTAGAACGGGATTGGGTATCAGTAAGTCGAGGACGTTGTCGCCAAAAGTACGTGATGCGGGAGGGTGTAAACCGGGGTATTACAGGTAGAAACAACAGGTTCCACACTGCCCACCAGGGATTATTTGTCTGTCTGTCGTGCAAAACCACGCCCTCGATTTGTATTTCATAGAGCGCTTCGGGCGGGCTCAGCACCACGTGATGCGCTGTCCAACCAAGTTCCTACCTGCCCACTCCGAAGGAATGTGTTGGTGTACAGTAGAACCCCCTCTCAACGACGGTAATTGGTTCCATGATACCGGTCGTCAAAGTGATCTGGTTGTTAAGCGAGTATATAGGAAATACACGTTGAAGGCTTGATTCGTTCCGGTAGCATCGAACGCTGCTCCTTTTTACCGAAAAAAACGTACTTTATAATATTGAAACAATGGGTATTAATACGTAAAGATGCTAACAACATTATAAAGACAATATTAAAATAAATGTGGTTCATCAATGCAATAAATTGATATTTACTGTACCTACAACAGATTGTCTTTAACAGTGGAATGGTCGGTAAGCGAACACATTGGGCTCTATGCAGGCACTGCACTACAATATACTACACTATACACTACACTATTATACACTATACACTACTATATACTACACTAAACACTACACTACTATACACTACTATATACTACATTACAAACTACTATACACTGCACTACTATACACTACAATACACTAGTATATACACTACACGACTATACACTACTATATACTACACTATACACTACACTACTACACTCTACACTACTATACTCTATTATACACTACACATTGGGATCTATGCAAGCACTACACTACTATATACTACACTACACTATTTTACACTATACACTACTATATACTACACTATATACTACACTACTATACACTGCACCACTATACCCTACTATATACACTACACGACTATACACTAGACTATACACTACACTACTATACACTATTATACACTACACTATACACTACACACTACTATACACTACACACTACTATACACTACTGTATACACTACACTACTATACACTAGACTATACACTAGACTATACACTACACTACCTACTATCACATTATACACTACACTACATACACTACTATACCCCTACATATACACTATTATACACTACACAACTATATCACTACACTACTATACACTATTATACACTACACAACTATACACTACACTACTATACACTATTATACACTACACTACTATACACTATTATACACTACACTATACACTACACTATAATACACTACACTACTATATACTACACTACTATATACTACACTATACACTACACTACTATACACTACACACTACTATACACTGCACTACTATATACACTACACGACTATACACTACACTACTATACACTATTATACACTACACTACTATACACTAGACTATACACTACACTACTATACACTATATTATACACTACACTATACACTACACATTGGTCTCTATGGAGGCCCGTCGCGAAGCGATCGGTCGTGAACAGGGGTGGTCGTTAAGAGGGGTTCTACTGCCTAAGTTGGGACGGATCTAGATGTAGCCCAAGTCTCACTTGGTCGAGAAGATTCCGGATGAAATCTACCTCGTGTCGGGGAGGTGCAAACCAGGGCACCACGTGGTGATCCGTGGAGCCACTCAGACACGCCCACTTCACATTGACCACGCCCACTTTCACATTGGCCACGCCCACTTTCACATTGGCCACGCCCACTTTCACATTGGCCACGCCCACTTTCACATTGTCCACGCTCACTTTCACATCGGCCACGCCCACTTTGACATTGGCCACGCCCACTTTCACATTGGCCACGCCCACTTTCACATTGGCCACGCCCACTTTCACATTGGCCACGCCCACTTTCACATTGACCACGCCCACTTTCACATTGACCACGCCCGTTTTCATTTTGACCGCGCCCGCTTTCACATTGACCGCGCCCGCTTTCACATTGACCACGCCCATTTTCACGTTGACCACGCCCACTTTGACCACGCCCACTTTCGCATTGACCACGCCCACTTTCACATTGGTCACGCCCACTTTCACATTGGCCACGCCCACTTTCACATTGGCCACGCCCACTTTCACATTGGCCACGCCCACTTTCACATTGGCCCCGCCCACTCGGCCGCTAACCCCACTCGCCCGCGGCTTGTTGAAACGAAAGCTGGATGCGCGCAAATAAGAATGTAGCTTAAGCACCGATAATAGTGGCAATGTCCGTGCACTACAGTTTGAATAAGTTAATTTTTAATACATGTTTCAAGACACAGAGAAAAAAACGGTTGAAATTTTTTTACACAACGCATGAAATACCTTTCTTTAAACTATTACTGGCAGCAATGTACCGTTTGAGGAACTTAAATTTCTTAAATATCTGAATGTACAATAAACATGTGATTGCCGAACATTTGATTACGTTGTTTGTATACAGTTCTTTTCAGATTCGAAATGAATAGCGGCGGTGGGGGGGGGAAGGGGGGGCCTGTCATATACATGAACTCCTCGACTTACGAACACTCGACTTACGAACACTCGACTTACGAACACTCGGAGATACGAACAAACGTGTCCGTATGTCCAGTTGCCTGTTCAGACCGAGAGTCGTAAGTTCAACCGCTGTGCAATAGATGGCGGTGCGTGGCATCTACATCTACAGAACGTGAAGAACCAGTGGCATCTACATCTGCAGAACGTGAAGAACCAGTGGCATCTACATCTGCAGAACGTGAAGAACCAGTGGCATCTACATCTACAGAACGTGAAGAACCAGTGGCATCTACATCTACAGAACGTGAAGAACCAGTGGCATCTACATCTACAGAACGTGAAGAACCAGTGGCATCTACATCTACAGAACGTGAAGAACCAGTGGCATCTACATCTACAGAACGTGAAGAACCAGTGGCATCTACATCTGCAGAACGTGAAGAACCAGTGGCATCTACATCTGCAGAACGTGAAGAACCAGTGGCATCTACATCTACAGAACGTGAAGAACCAGTGGCATCTACATCTACAGAACGTGAAGAACCAGTGGCATCTACATCTACAGAACGTGAAGAACCAGTGGCATCTACATCTACAGAACGTGAAGAACCAGTGGCATCTACATCTGCAGAACGTGAAGAACCAGTGGCATCTACATCTGCAGAACGTGAAGAACCAGTGGCATCTACATCTGCAGAACGTGAAGAACCAGTGGCATCTACATCTGCAGAACGTGAAGAACCAGTGGCATCTACATCTGCAGAACGTGAAGAACCAGTGGCATCTACATCTGCAGAACGTGAAGAACCAGTGGCATCTACATCTGCAGAACATGAAGAACCAGTGGCATCTACATCTGCAGAACATGAAGAACCAGTGGCATCTACATCTGCAGAACATGAAGAACCAGTGGCATCTACATCTGCAGAACGTGAAGAACCAGTGGCATCTACATCTGCAGAACGTGAAGAACCAGTGGCATCTACATCTACAGAACGTGAAGAACCAGTGGCATCTACATCTGCAGAACGTGAAGAACCAGTGGCATCTACATCTACAGAACGTGAAGAACCAGTGGCATCTACATCTACAGAACGTGAAGAACCAGTGGCATCTACATCTGCAGAACGTGAAGAACCAGTGGCATCTACATCTGCAGAACGTGAAGAACCAGTGGCATCTACATCTGCAGAACGTGAAGAACCAGTGGCATCTACATCTGCAGAACGTGAAGAACCAGTGGCATCTACATCTACAGAACGTGAAGAACCAGTGGCATCTACATCTACAGAACGTGAAGAACCAGTGGCATCTACATCTACAGAACGTGAAGAACCAGTGGCATCTACATCTACAGAACGTGAAGAACCAGTGGCATCTACATCTACAGAACGTGAAGAACCAGTGGCATCTACATCTACAGAACGTGAAGAACCAGTGGCATCTACATCTGCAGAACGTGAAGAACCAGTGGCATCTACATCTGCAGAACGTGAAGAACCAGTGGCATCTACATCTGCAGAACGTGAAGAACCAGTGGCATCTGCAGAACGTGAAGAACCAGTGGCATCTACATCTGCAGAACGTGAAGAACCAGTGGCATCTACATCTGCAGAACGTGAAGAACCAGTGGCATCTACATGGACAGGAGATTATACAAATTTTAAAGCCATTCTCCGTGTTTGGTGTACCCGCCGTACAACATTTTAACACGTAGGAGGCTTTCGTGACCAATGTCATCCACAAGAGGTTTTTTTGGGTTGATCACATGAAGATAAATGTGTCGTTAAACCCGCCACCACCCGCCACAGCCAATCAGTAAGGTTTGTCACGTGAACAGAACATGGCTGTCGCCTGATGAAGCTGGTTGTAATTAGTGGCGAAACGTCGTAAATGTTGTGGCTTTGCTCTCCAACACACCACCGGTTAGTGCTGTACTAGTGACGTTGCACTTACGAACAAATCGACTTACGAACACACCTCTGGAACTAACTCACTCGTAAGTAGAGGAGCCCCTGGTACAGGAGTCAGCCTCGATTTAAAGCTTTCGTGACTGCAGGGATTCATCTTCTTGGTTCTTTCGGTAAAGTCACGTAGAAGGAAAATAATAAAATAATACAATATATAAAAATAAAACAATTATATAATTCTCACGACGTTTCGGCCACAACGCAAGCAGCCGTCTTCAGGTGGAGAACAGGTCTGTCGAGACTGCCTTCTCGACAGACCTGTTCTCAGAGACTCTGCCTTCTCGACAGACCTGTTCTCCACCTGAAGACGGCTGCTTGCGTTGTGGCCGAAACGTCGTGAGGATTATTTTATTATGTTTTATTTTTATATTTTTTATTATTTTCCTTCTACGTGACTTTACCGAAAGAACCAAGAAGAGGAGTCAGCCTGTCTGGGAACCAAGCGCACGTTGGGACGCAGGTGGCATGGTAACAGCACCGCTTTGACAGTAGCAGCTCATCCGAACCCATCCAACGTGGGATCAAAATGTGCATTCAATCGACTCGGCTTCAGCTACGGCAAGCACGGGGTCGCTCTGAACATCAAACAAAAACCCGAGGATGGGAAATTCTCAAAACTGGAATCTTATGAATGCGCGCGGTACCACGAGCGCGTGTGGTAAACACACGGATCGGGGTCATGGATCAGTGTCACGGATCGGGGTCACGGATCAGTGTCACGCATCAGTGTCACGCATCAGTGTCACGCATCAGTGTCACGGATCAAGGTGTCACAGATCGGAGTGTCACGGATCGGGGTCATGGATCAGTGTCACGGATCGGGGTCACGGATCAGTGTCACGCATCAGTGTCACGCATCAGTGTCACGGATCAAGGTGTCACAGATCGGAGTGTCACGGATCGGGGTCATGGATCACTGTTACGGATCAGTGTCACGGATCGAGGTGTCACAGATAAGAGTGTCACGGATCAGTGTCACGAATTGGGGTCACGTATTGGGGTGTCACGGATCGGAGTGTCACAGATAAGAGTGTCACGGATCAGTGTCACGGATCGGAGTGTCACGCGGCCCAAGCCGTTGACGCCCCCACTACTTTCTCTCTTCGACCAAAGCTCACAGCGGCTACTGCTGCTGCGTCGACAGGAGACGATCTAGAAGACTTACTACCCTGGCAGTCTCCCCCCATCATCATCTGATCTCCGCCGTGGTGGCCGGACTCCTGGAGACCACTCCCAATGCCCCCGTCTTGGAAACCGGCCCTCCCTGTCAGAGGTCGCCACTGGGTACCCGATACCCGTACCCTACCCGATACCCGGCTACCCGTACCCGGCCGGGTATGGTTTGCGACCCTGGTGCGGCCGGGTACGGGTAGGCCGTGAGTCACTGGTGAGTCCCCGTTTGTCACTCATTTCCCAACGTCTCGTCTCTTCTCACAATTCAAGTTCCTAGAATCAACCCACCCGCGCCTGCAACATGGCTTCATCCCAGAGGTCGCAATCGGGTACCCGTACCTGTACCCTACCCGATACCCGGCCGGGTACGGGTATCAGGTAGGGTACGGGTACCCATTTGCGACCCTGGTGCGGCCGGGTACGGGTAAGGAATCAAAACCCGTTTGCGACCTCTGCTCCCTGTCCACCGTCCCACACACACCTATTGCTGGAAATCAGTGGCAAAGCTGCTTTACGGCTCATGGGATTCCTCCAGTATGAATAAATATTCTGATTCTGATGTTCCTACGTTCCTCGACGAGTGCTAAGGATCCAGGTGGTGAACTTTCACTGACCGGTCACCCACGATGACCGCTCACCGCAGCGTTCGCTACGTAACATCGCAAGTTCAACGTTGTCACTTTAGCCACGATTGAAATAAGATAGCTATTACACAACTTAAAAAAGGTACACTTATCAACCGTTACGACCAATACTGTGCACAGTGTTCAATGTAGCTCCCAAGGTATTTTACGGCTGCACCGCATTTCACGCCGCATGCTGGCGCGAAACGTCGGGCACGCCGCGCAGAAAGCAACACACGGAACGACCCGGAAAACCGCATCGGAGAACTCGGTGGCGGCAGCAGCAGCAGCAGCAGCAAAACCACGAAAAACTCACGCGGTCGAATTATATTCAAGTCCCGAACAATTCAACAAAACTCCACGACGTACCCAACATACATCTGTGTTCATGTAGTGTTGTTGGGGAGCGGTGGTGCAGCGGTTAGCGCATTGCACTACGAAGCCGGCGGCCCGAGTTCCGATTTTTGCTCACGGGCAACCCAAGTGACGATCATCTGAACCGGTCCCGGGCCTCCCCTAGGTACCTGGTGCGGTGTGTAAACATTGTCGCTGGGGAGACAAAGGCGGCCGGCCGTGGTGCTGGGCACCAATCCCCTCGTGTGCTGTTCCGGCCTTTATAGGTGCTCGCTATCAGCACTTGCCCCGGCAGTAGTAGCACAAGTCGCTACATAGGCTATGGGCCCCGCGCTTTCAAGGGCTCCGCGCCAAATGCTTTCAAGCTATCAATTCCGTTTCAGTGATTCTGCACTTGCTCTATTACTATAGTACTATACCGCCATCAACTTTTACGAACGACTGGGTGTTGCAGGTTAGCGATTTGTCGTATTATCTGGCTGTATAGCAAATGAAAAAATACAATAAATTTACTGTGCAAGTTAAAATTTCGTGTTTTAATATTTACGTGATTTTATTATTTATTTAGGGCCCCTTTATAACATCATGCAACAGGCCCCGCACTAGCTTAATCGGGCACTTGCCATCACGGCGCCATCAAGGTAACGTGACAAGGTCCCTTCCTACGGTCTCTCTTATGTACGTGTGTACATTGAACTTCTTTCGCATCGTACGTAGCCAACCATGCTAATGGGAGGTGAGTGTGAAGGACAACAAACTGGGTCTCTGTGTGAGTCTATGAGTCTCTGTGTGAGTCTATGGGTCTCTCTGTGAGTGTCTATGGGTTTCTGTGTGAGTCTATGGGTTTCTGTGTGAGTCTGTGAGTCTCTGTGTGAGTCTATGGGTCTCTATGTGAGTCTATGAGTTTCTGTGTGAGTCTATGGGTCTCTGTGCGAGTCTGTGGGTCTCTGTGTAAGTCTATGGGTCTCTCTGTGTGAGTATATTGGTCTCTATGTGAGTCTATGGGTCTCTGTGTGAGTGTCTATGGGTCTCTGTGTGAGTGTCTATGGGTCTCTCTGTGCGAGTCTATGGGTCTCTGTGAGTGTCTATGGGTCTCTGTGTGAGTTTGTGTGAGTCTATGGGTCTGTGTGAGTCTGTGAGTCTCTGTGTGAGTCTATGGGTCTCTATGTGAGTCTATGGGTTTCTGTGTGAGTCAGTGGGTCTCTGTGTGAGTCTATGGGTCTCTATGTGAGTCTATGGGTTTCTGTGTGAGTCTGTGGGTCTCTGTGTGAGTCTATCGGCCTCTGCGTGAGTATCTATGGGTCTCTGTGTGAGTCTATGGGTTTCTGTGTGAGTCTGTGGGTCTCTGTGTGAGTCTATCGGCCTCTGCGTGAGTATCTATGGGTCTCTGTGCGCGTCTGTGTGTGTATGTTGAACTTCTTTCGCACCGTACGTAGCCCGCCGTGCTTATCGGAGGTGCGGCTTTCGTGAACGCGTATCCCAGTAGAACACACTTAACGCACTGGCCCGCAAGATAAACACGCGCCTGCTAACCGCCTGTGTCTAATGAGGGGTGTTGAAGCAGCTGCATCGTTTCCCCTGCGGTGCTGCGATGAGATTATTTGAGTGATTCGTCTGCTAGAAATGTACACGTGACGATAAGCCACTTTTGCGCCGAGGCTATCATTTGTGGCCAGGTCGCTTCTGAGAAAGAGCTACACAGCTGAGTGGACTTTAGCCGGTAAAATAAGTGTTTAGTTTTTATTTGTAGAGATTTGTTGCGATTTGTTTTACCTTTCCCATAGTTTTGCAACTCCTATCGCGTTCTTGTGTTGTTCTGATCCGCCCCGACTGGACATCTGTGAAAAAGCGATTTTTAGCTCTTTGGATTCCTCCAGTATGAACAAACATTCCGATTCCGAAGTTTCTAAACCCGGCTTGCTGGCGAAAGGGCCTCCCAACTCTATAGCTCTGTAGAAAGTGGGAGCTTGGCCTACTCTTCCACGCCGGCCAGACGAGGTGGCAGCAGCCGCACTTCACCGCCACCATATCCTTAGGCTTTTTTTTACTTTACCGAAAAAACCTAAGAATATGAATCCTTGCAGTCACGAAAGCTTAAAATCCACGCCACCATATCCGCAACCTGTCGTCGGGGGTGACCGTGGCGTACACGTTTAGATTATTAAGCACCGATTGTTCACGTTATCCTCGACGGCCGTAGGGCTGGCGCGAAAACTAATTTCTCCACGCGGCGATTATTATTAGACATTTTTTTCTCCAGATTATCCGCAAAATGTTCACGGGTAAGGAGGACGTCATCGGCGAATTCACCACGGAAAAAAACAGGAGCCCTGCATTTGTAGAGTTTTACAACAACAACAACAAAAAATCTCCCGAATTCCGTGGAGCTGATCTCCTGCAATTATTCCAGCATCTGCAAGGCCGCACCTCCGATTAGCGATTAGCGCGGTCGGTTGGCGACGAACGGTGCGGAAGAAGGTCAACATACGTACAAACTAACCCCTCTCAACCTTCATTGTGCCATATCTGCAGCCAAACAAGTGAACCCGTGCACTCCGGTAGCCTTACCAGCAGGGTTCAGTGTTTTACCACCGTTACGGCCACTTATACTGAGGCAGTTGCTTTCTCCATTTCTCTTCAGTGTTCTCAGACTTAAGACTTTATCTCTAAACTCAAAACCATTTTTTTTCTACTTCACCAGTTTAAGGCCCACGTTGAGTTGTGTAGCCGCTCTTTTTCAGAAGTGACCTGGCAATCACAAATGATAGCTCAACGAAGTGGCTTATCTCGTGCAAATTTACAGCGGCCAAATACTACAGAGGCACGTGATGTTGATTCTAAATGTGGGGGGGGGGGGGGGGCGGGAAAACGAAGGATCCGGAGAAAAAAAAATTCCACGTGACCACGGGGAGAGCATGCGAACTCCAAATATACAGCAGCAGGCGGCAGGGCCGGGATCGAACCCACGACCTCCTGTATACCGGGCGAGGTGGTTAACATCTCTCTTAGCCACCGTGATGATGAGAGAGAGACACCGCGAACTCCAAATATGCAGCAGGCGTCAGGGTCGCAATCGAACCCACGACCTCCTGTATACCAGGCGAGGAGGTCAACATCTCTTAGCCACCATGATGATGAGAGAGAGACACCGCAAACTCCAAATATACAGCAGGCGTCAGGGTCGCGATCGAACCCACGACCTCCTGTATACCAGGCGAGGTAGTTAACATCTCGTAGCCACCGTGATGATGAGAGAGACACGCGAACTCCCAAATATGCAGCAGGCGTCAGGGTCGCGATCGAACCCACGACCTCCTGTATACCAGGCGAAGAGGTCAACATCTCTTAGCCACCGTGATGATGAGAGAGAGACACCCCGAACTCCAAATATGCTGCAGGTGTCAGGGTCGCGATCGAACCCACAACCTCCTGTATACCAGGTGAGGAGGTCAACATCTCTTAGCCACCGTGATGATGAGAGACACCGCGAACTCCAAATATGCAGCAGGCGTCAGGGTCGCGATCGAACCCACGACCTCCTGTATACCAGGCGAAGAGGTCTACATCTCTTAGCCACCATGATGATGAGAGAGAGACACCCCGAACTCCAAATATGCAGCAGGTGTCAGGGTCGCGATCGAACCCACAACCTCCTGTATACCAGGTGAGGAGGTCAACATCTCTTAGCCACCGTGATGATGAGAGACACCGCGAACTCCAAATATGCAGCAGGCGTCAGGGTCGCGATCGAACCCACGACCTCCTGTATACCAGGCGAGGAGGTCAACATCTCTTAGCCACCGTGATGATGAGAGACACCGCGAACTCCAAATATGCAGCAGGCGTCAGGGTCGCGATCGAACCCACGACCTCCTGTATACCAGGCGAAGAGGTCAACATCTCTTAGCCACCGTGATGATGAGAGAGAGACACCCCGAACTCCAAATATGCAGCAGGTGTCAGGGTCGCGATCGAACCCACAACCTCCTGTATACCAGGTGAGGAGGTCAACATCTCTTAGCCACCGTGATGATGAGAGACACCGCGAACTCCAAATATGCAGCAGGCGTCAGGGTCGCGATCGAACCCACGACCTCCTGTATACCAGGCGAAGAGGTCAACATTTCACCACCGCGGCACCCCAGTCCTTATTACTTTCCTTTCTGGAATCCATTCTCGATATGTGTCCAAACCATCGCAAATGTATTATCTTACATTGTCACCAACACTCATTAACTTTCGGCCCAGTTGTTTTTGACCAGTTTTAAAAATAGATTATATATGTGTGTGTGTGTGTGTGAAGCTACGGTACATAGAGATTGCGTGAAATACTGACAGCATCTCCCAGTAAACGTGCAAACGTCGGGCCAACGTTGGCACTCGGTCGCATGGGTTGGTGCAACGTCGCCTACTTGTTAATCAGGGGGGGGGGGAAATTGCACAAAACCTCTCCCCCTCCCACCCCACCCCAACTCCAAATCCTTTTAACAATTATTTTATCGCTTGGCACTGGTCAATAATATATCTCGCTTATCAGAGGCTAAAGAGAGCGCACTTTGTTAAATATTGGCACAGAGAAAACGTGATGTGCTTTTTTTTTCGCTCAACGAATGGCTCCTGAGAGCCGAGCAGGTTGAGCGAACGACTCAAGAGGGCGGCGCGGCGAAGGAGGAGGAGCCACAGAAGAGGCGGCAGCGACGCGGTGAGCCAGCGCCAGCATTTCAAGCCGCTCCAAGCTCTGCAGCCCTCTATGCGGGGTGCTTAAAAACAAATGTGAACACTTCTGAGAATTTGCAACAATACAGAAATGTGCCTCCGGGCTCTGGAGACCACCTGAAGAAGATTCCAGGCACGCGTTGACAATGCTGGCGAACAAGTGGGAGACCCTTTAACTTTTTTAAGCCATTAACTTCACATTTGTTATCATGTTGCAGTGTATTACCCGTTGTTTTTCCATTAAAAACGATAGCCCCATAAAAGTGTTAACATTTTTTTTAACGTAACCTGCACATCGAGTTGCTTTCGTTGCCAATCGACGAGCGCTTCCACGTGGGAGGAAACCGGAGCACCCGGGAGTAAACCCACACTCGTGCGAGGGGGAAACACTCTATCCCGTACGGAGGGAACAGGTGGAGTCCACAGTCGCCGTACCGCCGCCTCCTGGCGAGTCAAACCATGGCACCTCATCGATGCACTTGTGCGATCCGCCAACCCTCGCTGCCTCCGCTGTGTGCTGGATTACGTGCCACGTGCATAGCCACCACTATTGAGCCTTCACCATCATCACCACCACCACCGTCGTCGTCGTCGGCGATCGATCCACTGCTCAATGAAGGCCTCGCCAAGCCATCGCCATTCCATAAGCAGTTCGAACGACGATCGAAATTCCAAATTCCCAGCCCGGGGCGCCGACCCTTGCCGTGGGACGACCCGCTTCTCCCCACGTCGATGAGGATTATTTAGCCGCTCCACTCTGGCTCGTGAACGCTCCTCCGGCGGGAGTGACTCGACTCCAGGTCGCACGTTGAGCCCGCGCGATCTTTGCTCGAGACACAAAATCGACGTTTTCTTTAGGCTTTTAAAAAAAAGAAAAACGTCCCGACACGATTCGTAGCGTTAGGCACCCACGGTACTTTTGCATCGCAAATCCACCGCCGGATGAGGAGGGCTTACTTGACCATACTTTGCCATGTGTGCCCCGTGCACTGGCGGGGAGAGATGGAGGCAGGGAGTGTAAATGTGGGAGCGTACGAGTACAGTACAGCAACGTGTTCGTTGTTGTTTGTTGCCGCGCTGCCCACTATGCTCTGCCGTGCGTGGCGGTCACCCCGCACCGAGCGCTCACCAGGCCCAAGCCTGCTTAGCTCGCGGGATCTGTCGAGACCGGGGGGGGGGCGCATTGCGGGCGGCTTAGCCAAAGGCCAATTTAAAATAGCGAATGTAAATTGTGAAAAATAAAAATTGTGAAAATCCATTGTAATATTTCACGTCCGAAGTTTCAATTTAGAAAGAAGAAGAAAAAAAACCCTCTCGCGAATTAGCCGACGCGTTTACCCACCGCCGGCGGTCTCTCGTCTGGCTTCTGCGCTCCGATCGCTACGGCATTGTCACAGGCGGAAGCGACGGGGCAAGGCGATGAGGTAGACAGCACGTGGGTCGGGTCGCCATCTGTATGCCTAAGGGATCAGACTTATCTTATCTTAAAATAACTTACATGGCGCATTATCCAAGGCCCTTTACAGAGAATTACCAGTGGTGTGACGTATGAATGTGACGGTGGAGATGAGGTTTGAATGAAAGGGGGGGCAAATCCGTGATGATGCATGAATTCGGTGAAAGCGAAATTTACGACAGCAAATGATGACGAATGGATTGCATTCATGAATGGGGTGACTGAGTGAAAGCCGCGTCATGAGAATATGAAGAGGAAACAGTGACGGTGGTGGTTATGACGGGGAGAGATTAAGGGGTCGTGGGGTGAGCAAGGGAACAAGTGGCTTGTGAGTGAGGAGCGGAAGCTTCGTGAGCGAAGGTGACCGCTTAACGCGGATGGGGAATTCTAGATTTGAAGCTTTCGTGACTGCAAGGATTCATACTCTTAGTTTTTTCGGTAAAGTCACGTAGGTAAAAAATACCCGTAAAAACTAAGTTTTTCACTATAAATCCTGTATATGCGTGGCATCGGTTTTATTTCATTATTCATTTCTGTTTTGCTTGAGTAAGAGTTTCATTTTTATCACATTGGTATTTTAAATTAAATATGAATTTTTTTTTCCTAAAAAGTGGAACATTTTGGAAAAAAAAAATTTCACGAAAATAAATTGTCACGCACAACGTGTCTGTGTGCAAAATGTCAGCTCGATTGGATCACGGGAAAAGTGGGTTAAAATACGACCGAAAGATTTGCACGGTCGTAAGCGCGCAAGCAAGCAAGCAAGTGAACTTAATATAAAGGATTTCAAAATGAAATTAAAATTAATGTATCTTGATACAGCAAATCTGGCTGTGACGGTCCCACCTGATGACGGAGACTTGTGTTGCCTCCGAAACGTCGTGATTTTTTATTTAATTTTTATGAATTTTTATTTCATTTTTTACCTACATGGTGACTTTACCGAAAAAACTAAGAGTACGCGGATGGGGAAGTTTGTTCCGGTGAAGGGGGCGCGCGCACGAGCAGAGAGAGCGAGCGACAGGGTGGATTGAGCACGAGGAAGAAGTGGAGGATAGAAAGCTGCTGTCCCGGGAAATCTGAAAGGCTTCCGCAGAACATTCAAACATTTGTTTTTGCCATTTACACGAATTTACATCCCCCCCCCCCCCCCCCGCATTATTTGCGAACAGCGCGGATGTGCAAACGCGCCGCGCGATATTTTTTCCGTTAGGATCCAGAGGCGCGGGGAAAACCCGCAGACAAGCGGGAAGTCGGCCGCAGCAATGCGCCGAAACTCCGCGGCCCTGTGCGGTGGCCACGTTTGAGCCAACTCCACGAGTGATGGTGCTTACAACCGCCACGGTTTTTGTTCCGCAGGTCAGAGGTCAGAGGTCAGAGGCGGCAACCCTCCACCAGCACGAGGCCACGGGGGCCGGGCATCCCCTGCGCAGCGCGGCGGTCGACGCAAATTTCCCTTCCTGGCTACGGAACGTACAACCAATCCCATCGATCTGGAGCAATCGCAAGGGTGGCGGCCTTCTCCTACACCCTCATGACAAACACCGCCACGTTTGACTTTTACTTATCGGCAACGTTTGCCGAGTCGTTCAAAGAATTGTGTTTTGGGCGGGGGGAGGGGGGTTTACACAATAGCCAAATCTCTCCTCGGGTTTGCCTGCCGTATAGGGCAGAGACCATGAAATAAAATACAAAATATACATTTATCGATCTCATCATCATCATAATCACACATAGGATTGCACCTTGACGGGGTTATTCCAATCTGAACGACGTCGATTCAAAAGACGCCCTTCTCCAGGACTTCACGGCGGCGCCCATTCGTCATCTTGGTCGTCATCAATCAGCCATGGAGAACCCTCCCGACAGCCAATCAGCCGCCGGCAACTCTCGCGACCCCCGTGATGTCACGGGCCGCGGGGAAACGGCGCAGTCGACCCCACGTGTCCGACGGAACCGGACAGCCCTGCGGCTGTCTAAGCAGCGATAACCCTTACGTTATATATATTTATATATATACTAACACACGCGCAACGTTAATTGCGAAAGTCCACCCCAAAACCATCGCAACTTTTCAAAGTCGCCGCCTTGTGACGATCGTATTCATAGCAGCAGCAGCAGAAGACGCGGCAGTAGCAGTAGCAGCACTGGCAGTAGTCGGGATGCATTCATTTTTAAAACCGTGGCGAGACAAAGAGATCAACGGCATACACATTCCATGCTTTAAAGCCGACGGGATTCTCGCCCGCTGTATTTTTCCTGCGGTGCCGTGCGGCGAACCGGGCGCGTGCCACGTGAAACGTCGCGAGCGTCGCACGGCGTCGCGCGACTTCGCGAAGGCCGGTCACGTGACCGCCCGTCCGTGCCTCTCGTCCCCGGGACTCTCTCTCTCTCTCTCGTCTCTCTCTCTTCGGCGAAAGCCAAGCGTGGGCCGGAACTCCGTCCCGCGTCTCCACGCGCACAAACACAAATATAGTTTCAGTCCCAACGGTACATCGCCTCTGCAAACTGACATTATCCAGCGGCGGTTGTTTCGAGCGTAAAACTCTGCACTGGTTTCCGGCCCTTCTTGGGTCTCATCAGTAGGGCGTGGGCTTGTTGAACGAATGCTGCCGGGTGATCGGGCTTTGTTTGGCGAGAAGGCCGCCCCCCCTTCTGAACAAATCGTGGTCATCTCGCCGTCACCCCAAATCAATATTTGCCTCTTGCCCGCAGCCTCTCTCACCTCCATCTCCGCATGGAGACCTCTGTATCTCGAACCTACACCTCTGCCGTGTCTCCATCTCTCATCCATGTCCACCGTGCCGCTTCGCCTCGATATTTACGCCACGGCGAGGCAACGCCATTCTCGACCAGTGGCGGAGGGAGCGGTGACGGTGGAGGCCCCGTCTGGGTGGGCCACGCCGAAACCCTCCGTTCGTCGCCCCCACGCGTCCGGCCCGCCGGGCGCCGGCTCTGGCATCGCGGCTTCAGGCCGACGGCACCGCGTTGCCTTGCGCCGGCTGCTGCTGAGCCGCGGGCGGCGCACCGCCGCCACCGCCGCCGTTGTTGTTGCCGCCGTTCTGGCCGTCGCCGGCGGCGGCTGGCGGTGGGGTGGAGTCGGGGAGCTGGCTCAGCAGCTCCTGCAGCTGCTCGGGATTGGCGAGGCCGCGCAGCGCCTGGTTCTCCTGCTCCAGATGGCTGTTCTTCTCCACGAGCTCCTTGATCTGCTCGCGGAGGATCTCCACCTCCTCGCGCACCGCGAACATCAGGTGCGACTTCACCAGGTCCTGCCGGCACACGGTGGGGAGGGGAGGGGAGGGGAGGGGGAGGATGTGACGTCGGCTGGAGGCAGAATCTCGCCATCGCCTGGGTGGCCGGCGGAGGGGAGATGTAAACAAATCATGCTTGTGATGGTTTGGACAGATAGAGGATGGATACCGGAAAGAATAGCGCACATGGTAATGCTGCGGTGGCTAGGAGATGTTAACTACCTCGCCCAGCAAACAGGAGGTCGTGGGTTCGATTCCGACCCCGATGCCTGGTGGTGTGGATTTTTCTTCGGGTCCTCCGATTTTTTACCCTCCACATTTAGAATCAACGTGCCCCTATAGCATTTGGCTGCTGTCAATTTCCACACGATGATCATTTTTGATGGCCAGGTCGCTTCTGAAAAAATATCTATGTAGCTCAGTGAGCATTACCTGCCAAAAATAAAAATATATATTCATAGTTTTACAGTTTTTGTAGGCGGTTGTGGTGCTTCGGCTTGTTCCGTATCGGCGCGTTATTTTTTGCCGCGACATTTTCCTCTCGTGCGAATCTCATTACGATCGAATTGTGTGTGTTTGCCTCGGCGAGTCACAGAGTTCCACTTACCATGGCTTGCTCGATCTTGTTGTCAATAGCGACCATGCTGGCTCCGGGGGAGCTGAGACACACGGGGAAGAGAAGAAAAGAAATCAACGGTCACCTGAGCGACGTGAATATCTGGGCGTTGATGCGGATATGTGGGCTTCGATGTGGATACCTGGGCGATGATGTGGCGATGATGTGGATATCTGGAGTTTGATGTGGATATCTTGACGATGATGTAGACATCTGAGCGATGATGCGGATACGTGGACGATACGGCTATCCGGACGATGCGGATGCGGTGATGTTCATTAGTTGACAGTCAAATGGACATTTCTGTATGAATGTATGTATCAATGTATGTATTCATGGATGTATGTATGTATGAATGAATGTTTGTATGTATGTATGGATGAATGTATGCATGTTTGTATGAATGTATGTATGTATGATTGTATGTATGAATGTATGTATGTACTGCATGAATGTACGTTGTATGTATGTATGAATGTATTATTGTATGAATGTACAGTATGTATATATGAATGTATGTATCAAAGTATGTATTATTGTATGTATATATGAATGTGTGTATTATTGTATGTATGAATGTATGTATGTATGGGGGGGAAGGACAGGAAACTGAACACACAAAGCACAGTTTTTGATTCTCAGAGATGGAATTTAGACAATTTGTAAGTGCAGCGCAAAATGTAATGCGATGGTTTTTTGTTGTTGTTGATGTTGGGCAGTCAGTATTGACAACTCACTGGAGTTGAGAATCCGCTTTAATCTCAACTCGGTCTGGGTGAGTCTACGGGACTCTGGGTGAGTTTATGGGTATACGTGATTCACTTGTGGCCAGGCTTGAGACTGTCAAATCACTAGAACCCGGTTTAATCACAGGCAGCTGCCTGGATTAACGTTTCAAGTTTTAAGTTTCAAGTTTCATTTATTAGGTATCGCCCTGTGAGCCATGCGGCTCTTAAGTGGGGTGCAACCCAGGATGGACCCCCCCAGCAAGGCTGTGTCGCAGTCAATAGTCCGATTCACAGTGGCCCTCAAAAGACCCTGTGAGATTATCCCTAGAGTAGAGTAGGCTGCGAGCGCTGCAGCCAGGGTCTGAATTTGACAAATTTGATCGATGACTCGCAAGTTCATCTTCTTGGTTCTTTCGGTAAAGTCACGTAGAATGGAAATAATAAAATAATAAAATAAAACATTATAAAATTATTCTCACGACGTTTCGGCCACAACGCAAGCAGCCGTCATTCAGACGCTGTCTCCCCGACAGACCTGTTCTTCACCTGAGGACGGCTGCTTGCGTTGTGGCCGAAACGTCGTGAGAATAATTTTATAATGTTTTATTTTATTATTTTATTATTTCCATTCTACGTGACTTTACTGAAAGGACCAAGAAGATGAATCCCTGCAGTCACAAAAGCTTTAAATCGAAATTTGACTCGCAAGTTGCTTAATTGGGAAAAGCCACGAGGCAAATTTTGCTCCGACGGGTAGAAAATTTTCGATTTTAAACTTTCGTGACTGCAGGGATTCACATTCTTGGTTCTTTCGGTAAAGTCACGTAGACAAATGGTCACTTTAGCAGGGTTGGCACCTCTGATTAGCGCGGTTGGCTACGTACGGTGCGAACGAAGTTCAAAGTACGTACAGGCCCTCATGATGCTGGCCCGCAGAGTGCGTGTTTGCGTGTTTGTGTGCGTGCGTGCGCTTTACAGCTTTGGATAACCTTCGAATGGATACGTTCACCACACTTTGACCAGAGTGCTCAGCGCGGGACTTTGTTCTCGGCCAAGGAAGCCTACCTCGTGACAGTGTCAAAGCCACGACCCGTAGAGTCATTCAACCGTTCCCAACACAAGTGGGGGGGGGGGCGAGGAATGCGGAATTGAGACTCCGTCTCCAAGGCCACACAATGCCACGAAAAAATGCCACGGAACGCAAAAAATAGATTGCTCAGAAAAGGAGAGCCGTCGTATTTTTAAGGCAAAAGCTGAAGTGTCGATTTAAATCTTTCGTGACTGCGGGGATTCATATTCTTGGTTCTTTCGGTAAAGTCACGTAGAAGGGAAATAATAAAATAATAAACATAAAACAATAAAATGTAATTGTTTTATTTTTTTATTCCCTTCTACGTGACTTTATCTAAAGAACCAAGAATATAAAATTTAAAGTGTCGCAAATGTTGTTCAACTACAGCACGGGCTGCATACACGTCACTGCTTGCATAAGCACGGATCTGAAACGGATTAACTTGCTTCGGTTGCGTAACAAAACGTCTCGCAGCCCCCCCCCCTCCCTCCCCCGGTCCCCCGCCCCCATCATCGGCAGCTGTCCCTGTGTGGCACAAGGTGACTGAACGCCTGGCTCGGCGATGGGCATGCGTCTGCCAGGAGGGGCGAGAGATGCTGTTGCCCACAATTAAAGTCGCGTATGAGATTCTGCTCATTAATCAACTTGGGCACATTCTAAAGGAGAATGACGCCTCGGGTACACGCCAGAGCTGAACCCTCTGCGCGCGGCGCCATAATCGCCGGCCATCATCTCTCCACTGCTGGATGAAGGCCTCCCCCCACCTCCCCTCCCCCCCGGACGTTCTCTCGGATCGCCCTCGGAACGGCAACTTCCAATCAGGTAGGCGGTAGGGGTCACGTGACCAGGTCGCGGAACGCTCGTGGGGTAAAGAGTGGGTACTTTCCACGTCTCGCAAGATCTTTTCGGCCAGCGCGGAAGAGTAGGCCAAAAACACCCGACTTTGGGTGAACACAGAGGTCGCAACCGGGTACCCGATACCCGTACCCTACCCGATACCCGGCTACCCGTACCCGGCTGGGTACGGGTAGCCTTTTGCGACCCTGGTGCGGCCGGGTACGGGTACGGGTAGGCCGTGAGTCACTGGTGAGTAACCGTTTGTCACTCATTTCGGGTAGGGTACAGGTAGGGAACGGGTACCAGTACCCGGCCGGGTACGAGTACGGGTACCCACTTGCGACCCTGGTGCGACCGGGTACGGGTACGGAAACAAAACCCATTTGCGACCTCTGGGTGAACACCAGCGCGGGTTCAGAGCAGGGAGCGCGTGTAACATTTTACCGAGGGCAGCTGAAGTGAAATATAAATGGTCCGGGAGAGTTTGCGGAGGGGGCTTTGGATTTGGTTTGTCGACGTTAATGAAGCGGACACCGCCGTGGAGCGATGATTCAACAACACGCTCCACTTGCAATCCAGAGGTCACCGCTCCGATTTGATCTCCCCCCCTCTCCCCACCACCGCCCCTCTCCCCCGCCCGACCGCCTCCGTACGCCACGGTTACTCCGACGACGGTGGGGGTTAAAGTGCGGGCGCTGCCACCTCGTCCGCCCACTTTCCGAGAGCTGTCGAGTTGTGGGGACCCTTCCGCCAGCAGTGGCGTTTCGCAGGCAATTGCAGGGGCTGCGCCTTTTGCCTTAAAATTCGCGCTCGTGTGCCCCCCCCACCCCACCCCCTCTCCGCCACACCAAGCAAAGGTGGCACCAGCGGAGGCTTCGGTGTGCGGGGCAGCGCGCGGGTTGTGACACCGCCGCACGAATGTTGTCCCACACCTCGCTATCATTTCTGAAGCCACGTCGGGGGTATTGACCACACCCCGAAGCCAAGCGCCGTTTCAGCTCTCGAGTTTCGACATCGAACGGAGAGCTCCGGCGTTGCTGCAAATGGCCAAACAAGAATCGGCTAACCCGATACCGTTTCCTTTTCTTCCCCTCCCCCGCCCCCGCCCGTTGTACCGCTACGTGCGTTCCTGAAGCAGGAGCTGCCGGCACAGTGGGGCGAAACGTCGGACACCGCGCCGAACAACGCACAAAGTGGCACGACCCCAAACCGCGACGGAGAGCCACGTAGCAGCAGCAGCAGTAGCAGCACAACCGGGGGGTGGGGGAAACCACCCGGGCGGTGTTCTTCTCGCGACTGAAGTTGGCGCTCGGCTACGATCGCGCAAGCATGACGCCAGATCGCGTCCCGTTGCCCTCCGCCGCCGCGACGCGGGCGAATGGATGGAGCTTGCCGGCATGCTTTATTGAACAGCAGACCGGGAAGTTGCCAATTCTCTTCGCGATGCTTTGCCGTTATCAATTCCAAAATTGTGACCGCGTCACCGGCACGCAAACGGCCCAAACTCTTTCGCGACAAACAAGGCCCCCTAAACATCTAAACAACGTGACGTGACGTGCGGCTGATGGGCGTTCGTGCAACCCTTCCACAATTCCGGGTTTCGTGGTTTCCTCTTTCACCACTGAGAGGCTATAACCCCCCCTCCCTCCCGTCTTTTCACCCCCGTCTCCCGCGCCCCCCTCCCCCCAATCCGACCCAGCTCATTTCAGACTCTGTATAGGAGGGGGAACCACCTGGCCTAGAACACCTCCTCCTTTTCCTTTAAGGGGACGACTCTAGAATGTTCCATGCGCTAGGAGTGTACGATGCCCTCTGTTTTCCATGAAGGGAGGGGGCTCATCTTGATCCTTCCAAGTCGCCCAGTGCAGTCTTTCTGGCTACGGCGTTAAGGGTCTGCGAGTGGGGCATATCGACGTCTCGTTTTCCGTGCCAAGTCTTCGCGCTATTAAATATTGAACAATACATTGCCCGCCGTACGGCGGTCGTTGCAAAAAAATCGAAACGAGCGATGAAGTTCCCTCCGTCGAAAGATCGCCAAGAATAAGTGCTGCAAATACATATAAATAAACATTCACACGATAACACCATTTTCACACATTTCGCAGATTCCTCTACAGACATCACATGGCCACTATAAATTCCACACCAGGAATGACGTTTGCCTGCAACTCGCCCTCCCCAACTATCCGCGGTCCAAACGCCTAAATATAAATATAATCCTCGGCTCACCATCGCCACCATTGCCACCATCGTCGTCGTCGTCAAATCAGTCGTGAGCAATCCACCGCCGGATGAAGGCATCCTCCCAATTCCACTCACGGACGAAGGCCTTCCCACACCGTCAGTCGTGGGTGCCGTTTGACCAAACTTCGCCACACTGGCCAAGTATTGGCTGGTGAATCACAC